CGCAGGTTAACGTTACGCAGGTTAACATTACGCAGTTTAACGTTACGCAGTTTAACGTTGCTCAGTCTAACGCTACGCAGTTTATCCTTACGCAGTTTAACGTTACACAGTTTAACGTTACGCAGGTTAACGTTACACAGGTTAACGTTACACAGTTTAACGTTACGCAGTTTAACATTGCGCAGTTTAACGTTACGTAGGTTTCCGTTACGCAGTTTAACGTTACGCAGTTTAACGTTAGGCAGGTTAACGTTAGGCAGGTTAACGTTACGCAGTTTAACATTACGCAGTTTAACATTACGCAGTTTAACATAATATTATGCAGTTTAGAGTTACGCAGGTTAACGTTACGCAGGTTAATGTTACGCAGGTTAACATTACGCAGTTTAACGTTGCGCAGTTTAACGTTGCTCAGTCTAACGCTACGCAGTTTGTCCTTAAGCAGTTTAACGTTACACAGTTTAACGTTACGCAGGTTAACGTAATATTATGCAGGTTAATGTTACACAGTTTGATGTTACGCTGTTCACTGTTACATAGTTTAACATTACGCAATTTAATGTTACGCAGTTTAACATTACGCAACATAATGTTACGCAGTTTAATGTTACGCACTTCAACTTAATGTTATGCACTTTGTTACACAATTTAGTGTTATGCAGTTTAAAGTTACGCAGTTTAATGTAAATTTAACGTAATGTTACGCACTATAATGTAACGTTTCGCAGTTTTACGTTACGGAGTTTAACGTAACGTTACTCAGTTTAATACTGTATTTTTTGCAGTAAAAGATGGTGAGAGCTCCTTGTTCTCCTGTAGATGAGAACCTTTAAGTTCCTCAGGGTTCCTGTTTTGGATCCTCTCGTGTTCGTGTTGGAGCTTTTCTCATTAATTTCACTCCAGGTGGATCTTTTCCTGCAGCAATATTAGAACAGAACACGAACAGATCAGGTCAGTTTAGATGAATAAAAGTTTCGTACCCTCAGACGGGTCCAGTCTCCGGGCTCGGCGGCCATGTTTGGAGTTGTTGTGCACGAACATGTTGTCAGAGACGGCGAGAACGTGGCCGTCCACGTTGACCGTCGTAGACACTACCACCTGCAAACACAGAAACTTTATTCACAACCTGCGGAGGAACACCAGCATCATATAAAGACGGCTTCATTTTCTTGTTTTCCAGCTTCTGACTTTATCTGTTGGTTCTGTTGAGGTCAGAGACTGAACAAAGTCTGATGGAAGTGAAAAAGTAAACGCTTGAAAGTAGAGCTGCAATGATTAGAATCTGTTAGTTGTCAAATATCAAATAAATCTTCAACTTTTCTAATCATCAGTCATTCTGTGTTAATTCTGACACCGATTCATTCAACTTCTTCACTGTGAATATTTCTGGTTCTTTCCTCTGTGGCGGTAAACTGAAGATCTTTGGACTGAACTAGACAGTGAGTGTTTCTGAGTGTTGTATCTATCTATCTATCTATCTATCTATCTATCTATCTATCTATCTATCTATCTATCTATCTATCTATCTATCTATCTATCTATCTATCTATCTATCTTCNTGTCTCCTCGTCTTCTCCCCTGTCTCCTTGTCTCCTCCTCTCTCTCCTCGTCTCCTCCACTGTCTCCTACTCTGTCTCCTTCTCTCCTCCCCGTCTTCTTGTCTCCTCCTCTCTCTCTCCTCGTCTCCTCCACTGTCTCCTTGTCTCCTACTCTGCCTCCTTCTCTCCTCCCCTGTCTCCTCCCCTCCTCCCCTGTCTCTTTGTCTCCTCCACTGTCTCCTTGTCTCCTCCTCTGTCTCCTCAACTCTTCCTCTATCTACTCCTCTGTCTCCTTGTCTCCTCCTCTTTCTCCTTGTGTCCTTCTCTGTCTCCTCGTCTCCTCCTGTGTCTCCTTGTCTCCTCCCCTGTTTCCTTGTCTCCTCCTCTCACTCCTCGTCTCTTCCACTATCTCCTTGTCTCCTACTCTGTCTCCTCGTCTCCTCCCCTGTCTCCTTGTCTCCTCCTCTCACTTCTCGTCTCCTCCACTATCTCCTTGTCTCCTCCTCTCTCTCCTCGTCTCCTCCACTGTCTCCTACTCTGTCTCCTTCTCTCCTCCCCTGTCTCCTCCCCTCCTCCCCGTCTTCTTGTCTCCTCCTCTCTCTCCTCGTCTCCTCCACTGTCTCCTTGTCTCCTACTCTGTCTCCTTCTCTCCTCCCCTGTCTCCTCCCCTCCTCTCCTGTCGCCTCC